TATAATTTTTTCTTTCTCTCTATCTAGATTTGCGTTTGAATCTGTTTCTTGGCCTCGTTTGGGACAGTAAAGAAATAGGATCGAGGCCAATGTTTATTTCTCTTTTCTCTCTCTCTATTCGAGTTTAGGTGAAACAGGGAAAGGTTTGGAGAAGGAGAAAAAGTGAAGAAGTGGTTGAAAAAAAAATGGAGGGAGTTTTTTTCTTAAGGGAGTGTTAAAGAGAGATCTTGCGAACAAACGGGCCAAAGGAGGTAGACCAAAATAGATAATGAGTGCGGAGGGGTGTATAGAGATTCTCTTAACCCACATTCTCACTTGATCAAAATTTGAGCGAGCGCTTTTCTAAAAGACAACTTCGAACGAGATAATGACAAGAGTTTCAAAATTATAACAGCATTATTCTGTCAGTAACGCACGTATTACGGCCTAATCACTGCTAATCCTTTTTTTCCCACGATATTCAATGCACAACAAAAGATTGAGTGTCGAAAACTGCTAAAGTAATCTTTAATTTAATATAATAAAAACAAATCTGCGCAATTCAGTGCTAAGCGTATTTGATGATATATAAAACACTTATTTACATTTAAGTTCTATGTTTCATTGGATATTGAGAATCGTGGCTATTCACAACTTATCATTTGTAGCTCTCAATAAATTTTATCTTTTTATTATCTCACCCGAAACCAGTACTGCCATCCATTGCTTAAGCTCATTAGGTAGGGTATACGTTGTTTTCCTGTTGCCTTCAATCTGTCTTGTGAGTATCGAGTTTTCCAAGTCCTCTTTTCTCATGATGTGCCCTAGAAGTTTCAATTATTCTTTTTGTTTCCATTTTCTCTAAAATTTAATTTTTAGAGCATCGTATTCTTGGCATCCTTCCGCAGAAACCCATTTCTGTTGCTGCAAGTTTATTCTTCCGTCCTGAGTAAGACGATAAACTACATCCAGCAGCAAGGCCTCTGATCAGGAGGTTTTGAGGAGCGTGGAACCACCTCTTAATTGCTGGCGTTCCCAGGTTCACCCTGACCCGGGGTGGTAGCACCTGTTAGGGTCCTAGCTATGTGCAAACAGTTTACCTCCGAACTGGGGTCAAAACAAAATGTAAAAATAGGTTTTAATGCCAGAAATACTTTGTGAAAATTATTAACAGTAATAAATTTTTGAAGAAAAATTATTAACAGCAATACAGTACCAGCTATATATTTTTTGAAAAAAAAAATTACCAGCAATAAAAATCTTGTTGGCATTAAATAATCCATTGAGGTTGATATGCCGTAAAACAAACCAATCAAGTCTATTCATCTGGGCGGAGATTGTCCAGTATTCATTACCATACATGAGGACTGATATTACGTAACAACCTGGTACACCGTATTTCTTATGAAATTTTCTTGTTTCTTAATACTTTGCTTAGCTTTTCTCTCGCTATACAACGCGACTTTAGATTTCAGTGTCGGACTTTACGTCTTCTGTTAAAGCAGAGGGCAGATATTTAAATTGTTGTGCTTGTTTGATTTGGTACCTCCAACTTGTAATTTGCATTAGTATCCAGAAAACACATTTACGTATGGATCGGCACTTTTGACGTGATGTCTCTTGAAGAGAAGATTTTGGGAATAAGTGTTTTGCAAATCTACATACAGTGTAACGCGGATATAAGAGTTGTCGGGACCGGAGAAGAAGTCTCTTATATCCGGGTTTGGTCTATATGTATACATTAACACAGGCTCTAATTTGGGACCAGAGAATCTCTCTTATATCCGGGTTACACTGTATTAGGGACGGGGTAGTGTATTTGAATTATTTTCATTTATTTTCTTAAGAAATAAGTTATACAGTTTTTTGTTTTTTTTTATGATAATGATAATTAAGAAATAATTTTGTCTCCTGACAAGTTGATTTCAGAATCTGGGAAACTTAGAGTAGATAAATATATTTTATTTATATCATTTATTAATTCACTATTCCTCGATATTTAGCAGTGTAATTAGAAAGAAAGCCTGTTAATCTCAAAACTCTATCCTCTTGAAATAACCTAGTCGACCGTCATATTGCGAAACGGTTCTGAAAAATATACAGCGTGTGTGCCAGCTGTCTTCGATCATTTCAACTTGATAATAAAATGGGCGGGAGTAAGTACGAGTGAAGAAAGTTGGAAGAAAACTAAGAGAGAAAAGACTGGAATGACGGGTTGGCGATAGAAACGAAAGAAAAACAGAAGCTTTCTATCTTCAGATCCGTTGCTCCTTTACCTCTTTAATATTCTGAACTAATCCAAAAAATCAGCTATATTATTGGACCTGGTCTGGCATCTCGGCTTCAGTTACTTTCCCGTCGCTGCAAGGTTGTCTACTTGTCATATGTATGTATGCATGTACATGTATGTATGTATGTATGTATGTATGTATTTCATCGTAATTTTTACTTTAAGCGCAGTTCTAGATTGGCCCCGAGATCTAATCAATTTACTGTTGAGTTGGCTAGATGTAACCGTAAATGCCACAGTAAGTTTCTTTTCTCGCACTTCTCACTTGTGGAACTTCCTTCCGGTTCCTTGTTTTCCAGCCAACTTTAATCTTCAAAAATTTAAATGCAATGTCAATCTACTGTCCTTCTGATTACACTTCTTTTGTTCTCGCTCCTTAATAATGTTTGTCTTCCAATTCTCCCACGCCCAGTAACCACCTTGTGTCTTAGTGGCTTTACTACCTTGCTTGGTGAGAACTCGATTAAAATAAATACATGTGATAAAATGAAAAAAAACCTTTCCTGTGGCGCGTTTCGGCCCTTAGGACTTCATCAGATTGAGGGACGAAACGCGTCACACGAAAAGTTTTTTTTTCAGTTTGTTAGACATCTTTCCTCCAAAACTGTTTTCAACATACAAAAGTTTATATATAATTATCCCCCCCACACGTGTGTTTGTATGTAATACATATAACAGTACTATACATCGTATAAAAAGGGTGGCATAATTTGTTAATTGCTCACTGTTAGTTTTTCAAATGTTAGTCGCACATCTCGAATGAACCTGTACAGCAAGGGAGACAACTCGTAGAAAAACTTACTGACACTACAGACAAAAAGCTGTGTATTATACTTTACGATTACAGTTATGCTAGACGCATATAATGTTAATCTAATGCGTCTGAGATAGCTTTAACCTAAAACATATCTCTGCCTCTCACATAAAACCTGGTAGACTGACTTTTTTTTCCTTCGGTGAAGGTAAGAAGCCTGTCATCATATCAGGGTTAATTATTTTTTCATAAGATTAATAAATCGAAGATAGTAAAGTTAGACAATTAGTACTGATCAAAAAATTCAATTTGACCGACATATACTAAATTCGTGAAGAAACCAGAACCTCTTCCACTATCTTTCTCAAGAACAGGCAAAACAATGTGTTATATATATATATAAAATTACCCGCTGTCCCACGGAGCAAGATGTGGCACAAGGCCGAGTTTAAAGTGGGGAATCCGAGCCCGCAGGCTCGGGCAAAAATTCCCTATAGACCACGTAAAAAACGGAGTCAGCTTCCCGAGTCGTGACTGTGCCCAAATGGCATAGCCTCGTCTGGGGTGGGGGGTACCCTCTGACCTAAGCCAGGTACAATGTATAAATAACAGATACTAAAATAAGGAGAGTTATAATCGACTCCGACCTGAAATAACCAGGCATTCAAAAATAAACCCCCACATATTAATGAGCGCCTATTGGTGAAAGTCGTGCGTTTCACAGACTAGCCTGGCAAGTTTTGGAAATGTACGATTCTCTTTTCTTTAAGTGGGAAGAAAGGACTATCAATTGTGAAAAGACAATGTATGAATGTCAGCAAGAAAAAAAACAAAAAAAGAAACTAAGATGTCAATTACGAATTAGACACTAAAATCAAGCAGCTGATAGAATTTTAATATCTGGGGAGTGTTTTAACAGAGGACGGAAAATTTGACAGTGGAATCCGAACGAGGATTAGAATAGCGAAAGATGCCTTCCAAAAGCTAAGCAAAGTATTAAGAAACAGGAGCATTTCGTTAGAAACTAGGGAAAGAGTGCTGAGACGTTATGTTATATCCGTGAATGCTGGACAATGTCCTTACAGATAAAAAGGAGACTTGGGGCAGGAAATGTGGAGTTACAGATGGATACTGAAAATACCATGGACTGAACATGTAAGTAACGAGTACGTTTTAAAAGATATGGAAATAAAAAGTAGGCTTATAATTAGAATAAGAAAGTTTAAATTTCTCGGATATATATATATATATATATTCATGAATTATTCACACAAAAAACAAATGCAAAGGTTAATGATTTAATTGGTGAGAAATCCATCATCGCAAACAATTCAAATAATATACAAAAACCTCCGAATCCGTTATGAATGAAAAGATCCTTGTTTCTATAAATTTCTGCCGTATTAGTTCTTATTTTTACTACAAGCTTTCGTCTGTTCCTACAGACATCTTCAGGTATGGAATAGATGTTGTTCTTGTTTTTTCTCTTAGTAATAAGAGGACAACGGAATATATGTATTGTTCTAAAAATATGTATTGTTCTAAAAATTATTTAAAATTAAGTGACTAATGTGAGACATAGTAGATATCATAGATATCATTTGCTCTAGAATAAAATAAGGTTTATTTATGTGTGTATGAATAGAATGAATGACACTCCCTCTTTCTTGGGTACCTGTCTTTGTATAAGCCTCACTGACTCTGTTCATCTGTCAATAATCACTTAGCTTAGTAAGGCATAAGGTTTGGTGAGCACGTGATGAGTCAATCTGAAAAGCCTTATGCTTGCCTAAAAAATCAGTATTAGAATAGTCTTTCATCTTTTATAATACTAAAACACTGGAAACTTTGCTTGTGTGTTTCCCACAGTGCACACGAAATCATATAGAGAGAGTGGGGGAAAGAAAGATGTAAATTTATCATCGTGTAGGAAGGGGGAGAGAAGGAAATAATGTGTATACATAAATGGTTACATTTATGTCCGCTTTTTACTTGTCTCTCTCTCTCTCTCTCTTTTTACTTGTCTCTCTCTCTTTTTACTTGTCTCTCTCTTTTTTCTTGTCTCTCTTTTTTCTTGTCTCTCTTTTTTCTTGTCTCTCTTTTTTCTTGTCTCTCTTTTTTCTTGTCTCTCTTTTTTCTTGTCTCTCTTTTTTCTTGTCTCTCTCTCTCTTGTCTGTCTCTCTCTCTCTTGTCTGTCTCTCTCTCTTGTCTGTCTCTCTCTCTCTTGTCTCTCTCTTTTTACTTCTGAGATTTCGTGCGTGCTTATATTTCAGCTTTCTTTAAACAAACAATATTTTAAATATTTAAAAAAATATTTTTTGCTACATTTAAAAATATTTTCAGTTGAATATGATTTTAAAATACTTTTGCCATATTAAATTTTTTAAATCACATCAACTTAAAATATATCTTTAAGTTAATGTGATTTAAAAAATATTTTAAGTGAATAAGATTTTAAAAAATACGAGTTGTTTATACAGCAAGTCTCTTTTAATTTCAACTTTCTTCAAACAGACAATATTTTAATGCTCAAATCAACTTCACTATTTTATAACCTGAACTATCAGTGACCCAATGGCTCATGGATAATCTAGTATAGGATAAAACTGTAACCTCTAGCATGGGCGATAAATATGGAACTTTAATGTTTGTATTTTTCAATTGTTTTATTTTTGTAAACTTCGTGCACGTCCTGTTATGTATATGTGTTTTTTGTTGTTTTGTTTTTTTAAGCATTTCACCCCTAAGCAAGGCGGGAGTGCCACTAGCACTCAAGGGGTTACATAGAGTGGGAGCAAGAGTAAAGAGGCGTGATAAAGGAAAGGATGAAGAGAAGGACGGGGAATAGATCAAGGCATCTGGAGATGTCGATTGACATTGCATTTGAATATTTGGAGATTATAGCTACCAGGGAAACAAGTAAGAGGAAGGTAGTTCCGCAAACGGGAATTGCGAGACATGAAGCTATTGGAGTAGAAGAGACGGCTACATTTAACCGTTTAAACAGTGAAAGGGTTGGACTGAGATGCCAGCCTAGTAGCACATTTAACTTCATGCAGTCTGGGAACTAGTGAAAGTAGCTTGTCGGAACAGTTACCATGAAAGTATTTGTAGAAAAGACAGAGGTAGACGACGGCACGTCTGTGAGAGAGTGACTGTAGACAAGATGCCAGGTGAGGAGCAATCACGTTGCATATCCGTCTCTGGATTTTGTCGAGGACCTTAAAAAAAACAGTGGGGGCTTCAGACCCTATATGGCAGCAGTATTCCATGCAAGGGTAAATGGTTGATTTATAGATTTGAAGGATGGCCTCAGGTGAAAAAAACTTTCTGGCGCGTCACAGAGAACCAACTTTCGGAGTGTATATAAGCATTCGGTTTTCTCTAGTTTCAAGTATCTGCCTCTTTTTTTTTTTTTTTTTTTAAAGATCTTGTGCGGGTGTTTTTTTTTAAATTTGTATTTAAATTCATGAATCCTGCGTTAATATAACTTTTATTTTATTTATTTTTTTGTTAGACGTAAAACTAAATGTTTTCCCTTTGTAATAAGTTGTTCTTGTTGTTTTCAGGATCGGCACCCATTTACGAATTTATCCCTCGATGTGCTGCCACCCTCATGCAGCAAACTAGGTACAGTGAACAGTGCTGGTATCATGGAGGATACTGTTGGCAAGGGGTTTCAACCCTGGAAACGTGAGAATTGCTCGGTCGATACGACCGCCACTTCGCCGTACGTCTCTCCTTTGGTGACACCACTGAGCAACGCCAGCACGGATCTAATCTATTCAAGAAATAATGCATTGGCTCCGTGTTCTGGTACTTACGCCAGCGACATCTGTTGTCCAACGACGACAACATTTACTCATGCCGAGGGAGACTACTCTTCCGCTTGGATGCATAAACTCAACGATGATAACGGCCTTGGAGCTTCTAGCTTTCAAAGCATTTATCATAGGGTTTCTCAAATTCGTAGCCATCAGCCAGATTCCCTGACGCTACACCTCCCGGGTAGTCGTAGCCACAATCTAGGACATGACAACTCTTCTGTAAACTCAACATCTGCTTGGTGGGACTTGCAGAAATCACCGACTAAGTGGCTTTCTGAAGACGCTAACAAGGCTGGCAGATTATGCGGCCAGATAACCACTGGTTATCCAACCAGTAACTTGATGACCCTGGGCACCAAATCGAACTATCTGACACCAACTCAAAGTATTCTTCCAGACACGTATAAATCGATAGTCTCGTCTCGCTACGAGATTGGCTCAACAAATGTGACCTCTTATCTGAGCCCTTCTCGCATCTCTGGTATCAGTAACAACCGCTCTCAGAAGCGGTACTCTGGCCGGGGTAGTTGTGACTGCCCGAACTGCCAAGAGGCCGACAGGCTCGGACCGGCCGGGGAACACCTGCGCAAGAATAACGTTCACAGCTGCCACGTACCGGGATGCGGCAAAGTGTACAACAAGACGTCTCACCTGAAGGCTCATTTGCGTTGGCATACGGGTGAACGGCCGTTCATCTGTAACTGGTTGTTCTGCGGCAAGAGATTTACTCGCTCAGACGAGCTTCAGCGTCACCAGAGGACCCACACAGGAGAAAAAAGATTTGCATGTCCGGTATGCGATAAGCGATTCCTTAGAAGTGATCATCTTAGCAAGCATGTTAAGACTCATAACGCTAGTGACGGGCGGAAGTCGGCTGGTAGTGATTCTGGGACGACAGCTGCGGATGGAGGAAGCAATGGAAGCACAGGGACTGTAAAGACAGGGTAAAAAAAACAAAAAAAATATATAAGAAAACGTGAAAGTAAAAGAAGCAAAAAAGTGAAACTAATAGCTATTCCATACTAAATTTTCTAAAAAAAATAAAAATAATAAAAATAAAATAAAAAATATATAAATATAAAACAATCCTTAAAACACGCAAATGGAACAAGGAACATTTAAAAAATAGGTGGTGTGGACAACTGAAAACTCCAAATGTATCTAAAGACGGAGGCAGTCTATATTGAAATAATAAAAAAAAATTTAAAAAATTTCTCCTACTTGAAAAGTTAAAGGTGGTGTGAAGGGAGGGGAAAATCAGATGAAATTGTATTAAATGTTTAGCCCTAAATATTGGCTACCATGACAAATCCCTTATCGTCCTTTTAGGAAAAATAATCGACACTCCCTAAATAAAGTACGTACTTTGTTGATTTAACAGGAGTGGAATGTTGAACAATTTTTCAGATGTTACCCACAACACTGTTCCAAACCTAAAGTGACAATGATCTTCAGTTTGAAAATTAAACAACAAAAAAAAAAAAAAAAAGAAACGAAAAAAAAATGTGCCGTTCAAAGACTAAAAGAAAAGAAAACTGTTTTGTTGGGTCGGTGGAAGCAAAAAGGAAAGATCCCTATTCTCCAGAAACTGAAGACGTTAGACCGGTTTTAAGGTCATCTTACTGCGATCTCCCTCGGCCATTACCAAACCATGTCCTGGGAATATGGTAGAATTTGTTTGCGTGCGTGCGTGTTTCTCTTGTTTCTTTGGGGGTGTGTGTGTGTGTGTGTGTGTGCTCGCGCGCGTGGTTTTGTGGCTGGTTTTTACATCTCGGAAAAAAAAACACAAAAAAAAAAAAAAAAAAACTTTCCCTCCCCTTCCAACTCTAATCCTACCTATCCCGGCACTTTGAACCATGAATATTGCCGTAGAAGCGGTACTAATTATGGCAGTTGCACATGCACACACACACACGCACACACACACACACACACACACACACACACACACACACACTTTTCTCTTTAAAACAGCTCCTTTTTAACTAAGGCAAAGGGACTGGTCATTTAGAATACGGGCGCAGAGACTTCACAAACAAGTGAATTTTTTTTTCTCACCTCCCCCCGTCCCCCATACCCCTTGTTTAAAACTTTGTCACAAATCCGAACGAGCTGAACTTAAAATATTCCTCCCTAAATTTCAAGCTTTTTTGCTAATTCATGTTCTTACATCTTCAACCTCATCCATTTGTTGGTGTTTTTTTTTTTTTTTTTTTTTTTAATTTTCTCTTGCAGCCCAAAACGATCGTAAAAAAAAAAAAAAAAAAAAAAAAAAATTTCAAATGATGAGTTTTTGTTGTCATTCTTTCACTTCGATTCTGTAAATTCTAAAGACTTGCGTATCAGTTTGACGCGGCTCTCATGTCTTTTGAAAGCCATCTTATGGGAAATCTCCGTAAGAGATTGTTGCAATGTTTTTGCAAAAAAAAAAAAAAAAAAATGTCTGTTCATAAAAGAGTTATGTATTCGTATGAAGGTGATTCAAGTATTGTCTCAGTGTTTTCATTGAGATAGTTATACTTAAGTTAAACTAAATCTTCTCACGCAAATTAATGTTATTTTTTATTTTATCTTTTTCACAGACTCTGTTCTTTAATTTGAAATATTTCTCTTGAACGTCAGTCGGGAGGCACTTTTTTTCTTTCTAAAGCAGGATTGAAAAAAAATGTCATCTAAAAGCAAGCGTTTATAGATATTTTAAAGACCTTTTACGTTTCAACTCGAAAACCTCTATATTCGGGGGTGACGGAATCGAGTTTGCACTAAAAGATGCTGTTCCCTTTATATTGAAGGTTCTAAAGAAATTTTAAATACACAGATTTAAATGCTCAGATAATGTTAATAAAAAATTGTCTACTAGTACTAAAAAAAAAAAGAACAAAAAAAAAACGCGCATTTTTTAATGTTTAATGAATATCTGTGGATCATTTTCTTTAAGCTCGAGATATTAGCCTGATATTACATCGATCTGGAGTAAAGCATTAAGTATTTTTTAACCTCTGATTATGTAACTAGCAGTTAATAACTCTGTCATCACTCTATAAGATTGTAGCATCTCTAAATGGAAATTAGGCTCGTCATCTTTTTTTTTTCTCTTTCTCTAAAATTAAAGTTACCTAAATAATGTATTTTCTCTGAAATAACGGCAGTTAGAATTAAAGATAAACATTTTCACCCTTCGAGGTGAAACAGACAAACACAAGGGAGTGTTTCCAGGCTTGAACACAATTGAACAAATCAGTGTAAGATATCTGTAAAAAAAAATACGAGATAATCAAAATAAAGAAATACTTGTTTCTCCTGCAACCGTTTTCGTTTCAGAGCAGTAAAGATTTTTTTTTTTTAATTTCAAAAAATTAATAGAAATATCTGCTTTCAACTAGAAAATTGTTTTCGACTTAAATTTATACTTTCATCTCGTTCTGGTATTGTAATATATTAGATTACCTAACCCATGTTATTTTATTTTATTTTTTTTATCTTAACAATGAAATTGAACTAATGTAAAGAATTTCGAAATTAAAATAAGATTACTTTTAATTTAATATCAACACTCTATTAACAAATGAGTCAATTTAAGCAATATTATTTTCTTATTCGTTAAAATAAGACAATTCTCGACTTGACTGAGAAATTCTTCATTTCTTACTCTTTATCTTTCATATCTTTGCTCAGGTTCAAACTATGGTTTATTTTCGCAAGTCTCTTGGTGATTTTGAGATTTAAAAAAAAAATGTTTTTTCTTTCAAAGTGAATTCAGGAAAACAAGCGAAATAAATAATGAGTTACATATTTCGGCCTTTTTTGTTTTTCTCTAATAATCAGATTATTTAAACGAACAGAAAATGTACTTCATTATGTCAGAAATATTTACGCTAGAGCAGCATCTTTTAATTAAAAAAAATAAATTCTAATTTTTTTTTAATTCCAAGTAAATATTGTATATTTTAATGCCTTTTAAAATGAAATTAAAATTTAGTGTTTCTTTTTTTTTTATTAAAAAAAGAAAAAAAATCTTTCTAAGCGCGAAAGACTTTATTTTTATTTTTGCGTCACTCTCTCAGAAATTTTTACTTAAATTCCCCGTAAAACAAAATATTGGATTTTGATTTTTTTTTTTTTTTTTTTTTTTTTAAAGAACGAAAACCAACTCAGCTTGTATAGGAGTGATTGCAATCAGAAATTTTTCATTTTTATGTGAGATGAGTATCTTATCTCATGGTTGTGAAATAGTTGCAGCAGAACAGTCACCAAAAAGGCCGCGGAGGATGACGTAGCTTCCCGCCAACCGTCGGAAGCACGATGGCATCTGTGCGATTGTTTAGTCTACAATGTTGCGCAACTCTATGTAGACCAGGCACGGGCAACATTTTTTTCGAGCCGTGGGCTGCATGAGATACAGTACATCATAAGACGGGTCGCCCTACTAAAAAATATATAAATAATTTTTCGATAAAGATACCGTAGCTATTTTCTCAAAAGTGCATGCACAGAAGCACCTACCTTTTAGAAATGGGGAAACTCGAATTTTTTTCTTTGGAGAAAAGATTCCTATTATATTTTAAAAAAAAAAAAAAAAAAAATTCTGAAGTTTTGGTATATTATCACTGATGACCGTGTGATTAACACTCGCTCCTGCGCGGGATTTGTTTCATAATAATACTTATAAGAAAAGAATATTTATTCTCTAGAGAAAAGTAATTGTTTCTGAAGCAAAAGATATTTACACGTATGAACTTCCTTAGCGAAAATCGCCAATAGTTTAAAATGCTAACAAGGTTACCGTCAACGAAAAGATGCAGAATTCAAGAAACAGTGTACTCAAACATTTATGTATGAGAGTGTGTGAATGAACAAGTGAGAACGAAAGAAAACAAATAACATTCTAATAAACGTTATTTTCCTCATGAAATTAGACGTACCATCCAGAAAGCGAAACGGGCTGCATGTGGCCCGCGGGTCGAAGTTTGCCCATGTCTGATACAGACACTCATCATAGTACACAAGTGATTCAATGACAGAACCAGAGACTGTGACGCATACGATTCGATTAGTCTGATAGCAAGACATTAGCGGTGTCGCTAATGCTCGAATTATATTGCATCCGAGATATATATATATATATATCTCCAAAGAAAAGATATTTAAAATGAATTTTTAAAATGAAAACTCATTCTTGAAGCTTTTATTTTAGATTTGATTTCAAGCTGATAGATTAAATTGAATATTTCCAATAAGCGAAATACTTTGCTGTATTTCAAAACGAATTTAAATGGATTGGATTGAGTGATTTTTGAAATCGCTAAAAATTGCTGATTTTTAGCCACAAGTACAATTCTCTTAACACAACGTAATTCTCTTTATTAAAAATCTTTCAAAAGTAAAATATTTTTTAAAACTTTATTTGAGGAAGATTAGCTGAATGAAAGTTAATTAATCTGATTTGAAACAAAAATTTAAAATATTGCAGAAAAGCATTTTTTTTAAAAACAGATGTGTGTTTTTTTTTTTATGAAGTGTTTACAACTCTCTAGTTAGACTTATGGTTGTAATTTTTTCTTCGGCTGGCATTATCTGTAAAAATTACTTGACGAATATAAAGTGATCACTTTTTTTATATATTTTTTTTAACTAACCAGAAATTTTCAAATTTAGGAAGATATTCTAAGATCTGATTCTTTTATTGAACTTTAGATATTTTAGCGTTAAATTTACTATTGTTACCGCTGTTGTTTTCTGATAATATCGCGTATGGACATCTGTATTTAAAAAAAAAAATCAGCACGTTTATTTTATATATATATATATATATATATATATATATATATATATATAAAATATGTCAAAATTCTCCATAAAATACTGGAGCATTGATGAATTGTAAAAACAAATTTAAAACAAATTAACCTAATTAAAACTAAAAAAATCTTGCAAAAATTTATTATTCA